TATATATATATTTGTTTTTTAATTCTGTTTCTGGTTTTTGGCTGCCAAGGCTAATGATGTGTCGAACAGCAGTGCTACGAAGCTACTATTTCGCCGGTTAGTTGGTCGGCCTTTTATAGCTCTTAACAGTCCTATGCACTGCTGCTCTGTAGCTGTGTGTCGTTTTGTTCGGGTCGTACTAATTCTACAAACATATATATACACGCGCGCATATGTATATACACATATGTAGCACGTAATAAACAAACAGCAGTAGCAACACTCAAAATTGTCTACTCAAAAGCTATACCACTTCTACAGCTATACCAACCAATATCATCATCATCATCATCATCATCATCATCATAATCATAATCATCATCATCGTCATTAACGAGCAATCCAACCAGTCAGGCAACCGAGTACATCTCCCTACACTGTCATTATTTAATGTTACTCACATATTTATATAAACTTGCACACAATTTGTATATTAATGGTGATACATTCAAACATACAATACACTCATATAAATGAATACGTATACGTATACGTATAGTGGAGTATAACATACATTACATCCAATTGAGTGTAATTGGTAAAATAATGATATGCGAATAAGAGGGAGAAAGAGTGCAAAAGAGTTGCGTTATCACGAAGAGAAGGAGAGGAAGTGAGTAACAGTAGCATACAATTTGAACAAAAAATCATTATTTTCATGTTCTTTATTTTCTATTGCCATGTATTCATTTACTTCTTTGCCGTTGTTTATGCACTGTTCAAGCAACAACCTACCAATTTGTTATACACACTAATACTATGCACCCTGCTGTTTGCTGTCTTTATATGTTCCTTCTGAATATTTCAGGCTGATGTTTTACGTCAGCTATTGAAAACAATTCAGATATGGTAAATTAACCTACAAATTGGGGGCCGCAATCTCACGTTGTTCATTTAACCTCTAAAATTCACAATTATTGGATATGAATTATTATAAGGCTTGGAAAATAAATTCGTCATCCATATTCACGAAACGTGGAACTAAAACATATATCGAACGAAATATTCGAGAAACGTCTATTACTATCGTTATTATTATTAATTTAGCCAGAGAAATAAATACTAAGGCAAAAATCTTAAAGCACTCGTACTAGCATCTAAGGCTATTGGCTTTATTGAAAACTCTACCGCACTTGAGGCTCGAACCCACGACCATTGAGTTGCCAGTCGAGATTTTTCGACTTCGGTCTCTCGGGCAAATCGGGGAAACTTCTAAAAATATTTATGGTTTTCGAATCGTATTTTGGCAATGTATTATCACATCCAGATTCGACAATAGTTCACAGACGTTTTTGCGAAACAAATCGTTGGTAGCAAAGATTGCGCAAACTTCCTTATGATTATTGCATCGTGTTTTTATCTTTGCATAAGGTATATACAAAATGCAAGCGATTAATTCGACTTCGCATAGCTTTTACTAGATATTAGTTCAAGTTTTGCTTACAATTATTTTTTGCATGCAAGCTACCGAAGAATGGACAGAGTCTCTGTAGTCCTGAATTCGTATAAATAGACGCAGACGTGATTACTTTAACGGTTATAGTTTAAAGGTTGCGTCGTACATGTCTTTACGACTAAAATTTATTTGATGACATACAATTCTAGATGAAAATAGTTTTTTTTTTTAATGTCCACAGCATGGCCCAAGATATATCTGTGAACTTTGTGATGTATTTAACGCGGACTACTCTTTTTTTATAATTAAGACGATGATTGCGGCATGCACAGCCCTGGACAGTACTCAGATAGGTGTGTATGACTGTTCAAGCATTTTATTTTACTCGGGATATTTGTTGCTATTGTATACACTTACAACACATTAGGTTATTATTCTCTCTAGAACACAAAAATATAAATAATAACAACAACAGCACGAAACATTATTTACCCAGTAGCAGTGAGCGTAGAGCGTAAAAAAATAGATTTTTCTCTGTTTGAGTGGTTTTGTTGTATGATTTGTAAAAAAAATTTTCCTCCTCCTTTTTTTCTCATTTTGCTCTTATATATTGATAAACATATATGTGCATCAGAATGAATATATATAACAATTATAAACAATTGAAAATATAAAACATATGTTTTCTATATAAAAAATTCTGGTTCATATATTTAGATATATATATATATATATATATATACATATGGATATTAGAGTGTATTTATGTAGGTATTTATCCACATATATATATATATATATATATATTTATATATATATATGTATACAGTGCATTTATGTATCTATCTATACATCTATATTTGTACTTAATTTGTATTTTTTAAAGGACGCTGTGTTAGAAGGTCGCTAACTAAAGGCCCTACGAATTACGATTGAATTATATCTTAACCGCATTGTCTAATATCTCCCATCTTTGATTAAAATTCGTTATCCGGGTCCCTCTCCTCCTTCGCTTGTACGTAATTGTATCAATTGCCAGCGATTTATACACATTCGTCGCTGGACCATTCATGCTTGTGCATAAGTAAGATATGGCGTCTGCACACAGAAGGAATTGTGACCTGACCAGACAAAGCTTATTTTCTTTCAAAATGAGCTGGGGAATTAAAGTTCACTTTGCTTTCGAAGCGATTTGCCATAGTTGTCATTGCAGCGATGGCACTGTCCTCGACATTCGTGATTGGAAAACCCGCTAACGTTCTTCTTATCCACGCGGGCCTTTATTCTATTTTGTAGCAATGGATTTTTATCTGCTTTATTGGCGACATATTAAGCCATGATGTTCGCAGCCAACATTGAAAATTGAAAATTTACGGCAGACTGACACCATTTTTAAGGCGCAGGTCTTTGAAGTGTTCTTAATTTTTATCGATAAGCTCTGCTTTACCATCTTTCCTTTGATCAGGCTGATGGGGTGCACATAGCTTGACCGTCATAAACCATGCACAAAAGATGACTTTGACATAGTGAAGCATATGCTCTGATGTCGTTTTTTGTATCCTATTCGAAAACTCTGGCATTCCTATATGCTCTTAACGATGGCTTCAAAGGCAGCCGAATTGTATGCATTTATTATTGGACCATCTAATGTGAGACGCGTTATAATGGCGTCAAAAGTTATTCGCTATATTCTGCTTTTACGAGATCTTCTAGAGCAGCGCCAACAGTTTACCACTTTTCATCGAAACCAAAATGGAACCTAGAAAAGTCACCACGGTTGCTTAACTTTATTGAACCATTGAAGATTGTAATTTTGTAGACATATATGTTTGAAAAATATAATATATATATAGGATCCATGCAGTGTCTGTACATGCAAAATGCTTGAATTATTTTCTTTCGTGAAATAAAAAAGACACATATGCACAGTTTTATCTATTTTTTTGTATATATATACGCATATATATATATATATATATACTCGATTTAATTGATTTAGAGCGACTTATTACAATATAATTATGCAATAAATATATGTACATACATACAAATGCACTCATTCATATTCTTTTACAGGGATATGTTTCGTTGCGTGCACGGATGTATATAGCAATATTCGTATCAGCTGTTTTCTAGAATTATACCTATTCTCCCGTCTACTCCTGGAAGCACTTACACACATGTGTACGCGTATGAAAACTCTTTCAATATGTTTTAATATAATATTGGATATTTTGTCTTACATGGCCTTTCTTTGATGAAGGAAATCTTTGAATAATTAAAGTTCAGATTTAGTCGCCTGTTAGGTTAATTTTATTTAATTTGCCTGATATATTTGTTCAACGACTACATGCATGCGTGTAAAGAGCTTAAAGAAGCAAAATTACATCAAATTTTAACGACTATTTTCTACATGTTTTTTACATATTTATGTATGTGCGTACACTAAAACGGGCACGGACAGGTTAACAAACAAAAATAGGGGACAAGTCTCTCCAAATCAATTAATTCATATATATATATATTCATATATATATATATATATATATATATATATATATATATCTGCCTGTGCTTGCGTTTATGTGTACATTTATTCATATACGTATACATACTAAAATTGCATGCACGGTTACTCACGCTTATTATCTACTTGCATGCATGTACATGAATACATCTGCATATATATCTGTATATAAATATATATATATATATATATATGCGTATATAGAGACATAATGTTTTCGGTGTTGTATAGAGTTTGTCTTTTATATTAGTTTCGTTCACCTCTCATTCATTTCGATTTTTGTATCCACTACGGAAAGATGGGTTGGCTTTCTGATTTCATATGACATGTATTCAAATGCTTCTTGGAGTTGCATCTA